TATATACATATACACACATATATATATAGCCCTATTTTTTCCATATGTACATGCCTATAATAAAGTTTAATTTATAAATTAGTTATAATTTATAAATACTAGGGAGGCTGAGGCAGGAGAATATCAAGTTCAAAGGTAGCTTCAGCAAATTAGTGAGATTCTATCTCTAAATAAAAGAGATTAACAACAATAACTATTAATAATATAGAGCAATTTCACAGATGGATAAATTAGTCTTACCTGGCATCTTAGCAACTTCATCATGTAATTTACTTTCTGTCATTAAGTTGAGAATTTTCACCTTTTCACTTAAAGGAAGTACTTTATGGATTCTCTCTCTCTCTCTCTCTCTTTTTCTTTAGATGAGAAAAATATTATTTGGTCTCATGGTTTCAGAAATCTCAGTCCATAGACTGCCCAAGGTGTGGCAGAATGTCATAGCAGAAGAGTGTGGTGAAGGAAAGTGGCTCAGGATGTGGCCATCTGGAAGCAGAGAGACAGCTCTGTTCAGCAAGGACAAAATATTGGATTCTCTTGGGTACATCTGAATTGCCAGCATCACTACTCTTGAGCTTTGGGGCCATTATTAAGTAAAATTGGGATTACTTAAACACAAACATTGTGTCTAATAACTGAGATGGCAACTAAGTGATTAACAGGCTTATTCAGCAATAAACTGGACAAAGGGGTGAGTCCCTCCCAGGCAAGACAGGACAGGACAGGGCAGGATCTCATTATACTGTTCACAACATTGCAATTTAAAATGTGTGGTTTATTTCTGGAATTTTCCATTTAATATTTTCAAATGGCAGCTGGCTGAGGAACTGTAGTTTTTCTACCATTGTTCTGGGGTGTCTCACTATTATTTCACATAGGAGTTATTGCCTGCAACTTGCTTTCATTCAAACTCAGTGCCCTAGGGGTGGCACTTTGGATGAGCATCCTGGCCTTGCATAGATCTCCTGGGCCAGATGATGTTTAATGAGTCAGGTCACCTCCCTGAGACACAGGCTGCAGGTAGGCAAGGACTTCTTAGTTTACTTGGCTTCAATCTTCACCACATTCTGGAAACAGTGTAGGGCAGCTTACAAAAATACATCCAGAATATCAGTTGAATCATGAGCAAACATAAGACAGACCCACACTGAGAGATGCTTGGCCAAATATCCTCTTCAAACAAGTGTCAAGGTCATGAAAAACAAGCAAAGACTGAGGAACAATTATAGGCTGCAGACTAAGGAGAAATGAATGCTATGTGGGATCCTGGATGGGATCCAGGAATAGAAAAAAGATGGTAATGGAAAAGTTCTTGAAATTTCAGTCAGGTCTTCAGTTAATGGTAATGTTTCATGTCATTTGCTTGCTTTTTTTCTTCTTTTTCAGTATCAGGGATGGAACCCCACACCTTGCACATGCTAGGCAAGCAGTCTTCCACTGACTAAATCCCCAATCTTTTTAATTTTGGGGAGGGGGGTACTGGGAATCGAACTCAGGGATGCTTAACCACTGAGCCAAAGTGGTTATCACCAGCCCCTTTTTGCATTTTTTTATTTTGAGATAGTGTTTTGTTAAGTTGCTCAGAGCCTCGCTAAATTGCTAAGGCTGGCTTTGAACTTTAGATCCTCCTGCCTCAGCCTCCCACATCACAGCTTGTGCCATTACTGCACCCAGCTTCAGTTTTCTATTGCTGTGTAACAAATTGCTACAAATATAGTGGTTTAAAACAACATGTATTTATTATCTCACAGTATCCATGGGTCTGGAGTTCAGGTCCAGGCTTAGTTCAGCATGATTTTCGGCTCAGAGTTTCACGAAGTTGCAGTCAAGGTATCAGCCATACTGTAGTTCTCATCTGCTTATTGACATTTGAGCTGCCTCTGGTTGCGGGACTGAGATCCCTTCTTTTTTTAGCTGTTGACCAGGGACCATTCTTGATACCCAGAGGCCACAGAGTTTCTTGTTATGTGATAGGTGATTTACAAGCAGACAGAAGTGCATGCCCCTGCCCCAATCCCCCCCTGCTTTTATTTCTGGGGGGGGTACAGGAGGAGATTGAACTCAGAGGCACTCAATCACTGAGTCACATCCCCAGCCCTTTTTATTTTTTGAGACAGGGTCTCTCTAAGTTGCTTAGGGCTTCACTACATTGCTGAGGCTGGCCTTAAGCTTTCCATCTTCCGGCCTCAGCCTCTTGAGTTGCTGGGACTACAGGCATGCACCACCAAGCTGGGAGGGAGTGCAACTCTCTGACTTCTTCCATTCCCATTTCTGGACTTTCTTTAAGAGCTCACCTGAGGGCTGGGGATGTGGCTCAAGCGGTAGCATGCTCGCCTGGCATGCGTGCGGCCCAGGTTCGATCCTCAGCACCACATACAAAGATGTTGTGTCCGCCGAAAACTAAAAAAAAAAAAAATACTAAAAAGTTCTCTCTCTCTCTCTTTAAAAAAAAAAAAAAAAAGATACAGACCACATTGGGCATGGTGGCAAATGCATGTAATCCAAGTGATTACTCGGCTTTAAAAAAAAAAAAAGAGCTCACCTGATTAGGTCAGTCCCACCTAGGCTAGGCCTTTTCTGTTAATTCAACAAATTAAGCATTATATCTACAAAAATCCCTTTTGTCATATAAAGTAACATAATCACAAGAAGTATCCTCTCATATTTATAGGTCTTGCCCCTTCTCAAGATAGTGGATTATAGCTGGGTATGGTGGTACAATCCTGTAATCCCAGAGGCTAGGGAGGCTGAGGCAGGAGAATATCAAGTTCAAAGGTAGCTTCAGCAAATTAGTGAGATTCTATCTCTAAATAAAATATTAAAAGGGGCTGGGGATGTGGCTTAGTGGTTGAGTGCTCCAGGGTTCAATCCCCAGTACCAAAAAAAAAAAAAAAAAAAAAAAAAAAGATAGTGGATTATACAAGGCTGTGAATCATTGCTGATAATTTTAGAGTAATATAGTTTTCAATTTCTTCTTATTTTTTTGTTGCTAGTCATGGAACCCACAAATGCTGAGTCTGTACTCTACCTCTGAGTTACACCCCCAGCCTAATATCTTTATTTTTAAAAAATAATTTATTTATTTATTAAATTTTTTAGTTGTAGATGAACACAATACCTCTATTTTATTTATTTTTATTTGATGCTGAGAATTGAACCCAGTGCCTCACACATGCTGGGCAGGTGCTCTACCACTGAGCTACAACAACAGCCCTCTGTATCTTTTTTATAATGCATGTGGATTACTTTAACCTTTATTTATTTATTTTTTGTGTGGTGCTGAGGAATGAACCCAGGGCCTCGAACGTGCTAGGCAAGCGCTCTGCCACTGAGCCACAGCCCCAGACCTGGATTAGATGAAAGATAGAAGTGCTGGTGCATAAAGTCTTTTTTTCTCATGAGTCTCCACTGAAAGGAGGCTGAATGAAATTGTCAGCTAAATCTCTACTATAAAGACAGTCAGAGCTCCTTGGGGCTGTTACTTATGACAGTTGTGGTACAGGATGCTGGCTTCATGCCAATGTGTAGTGAAAGTAATTCTGAAAGTAGCCAGAAATGAAAGAATGAAAGGGCAGTTTTTGGCAGAGGAATCACAATCTAAAATTCACTCATGGCATTTGTATGATGAGTTGATTTAATCTGGGTGCTACATTTGGATCTTCAATGTCCTCCCAAGGCCCTTATGCTAAAGGCTTAGTCCCTGCGCTAGGGGAGTATGAAGCGGTGGAGTACTTGTCTGGATTTGACCCCAGCACTGCAAAAACAAAACGAAACCAACAACAAAGAAACATACAAAGGCTTAGTCTCCAGCCTGAAGCATTTGGAAAGTAGTGGAACTGTTTAATAGGTAGGGCCTAACGGGAAGTCTTCTGGTCATTAGGAACATGCCTTTGAAGAGGGCAATGGGACCCCCTCATTCCTCCTCTATCTTCTCTTACATCCTGGTCATAAGGCGAATAGCTTTACTCCACTACATTCTCTCTGCCCTAATTTATCAGAAATTGATTACCTATGGTATTTTGTTACAGTAACAGAAAACTTAATAACACACTGGAGTTCATAGACATGCTTTGGATGGGTCTTTCCAAGAACCACTAAAACATGCAAAATTGTTTATATATATGTACTCCCTTGAGGAGTGAGGTACTTTGGTTCCATTGTTTCTGACTCTAAAAGATGGAAGAATTATTGCTCTGTAGCAGGGTTTTGTTTTACTTTGGCTTTATTGTCACTTTGATCTGGATAGGTCTTTGTTGTTTGTGTGGGGGTGTCATGCGCATTTTAGGTTGTTTAATGGCACATCTAGCTTTTATCTGTAGAAGGCAGGAACATCCAGTTGTGACCATCAAAACAGTCTTTAGACATGGCCAAATGTCACCTATGGGACAGAGATCACCTTTGAGAATCCCTGAGCTTCTGAAGATTGGAGGAACAAAATGTAAATCAGGTGAGATATGGATTAAACTAGTCCTAGATGCAAACTGCGACATAACTATAATCATAATTTACCCAAATTACAATTTTGGGTAAATGACTTTATTTCAGCCTTATCTAGTTTCTTGACATATAAACTGATAATATCCAAAAATCATTCCCTGCTACACCCCAGCACTAGTGATGGAACTCAGGATCTCACATGTTAGACAAGCACTCTGCTACTGAGCTAAATCCTAACCTGTTTTGTTTTTATTTTGAGACAAGGTCTAAGTTGCCCAGGCTATCCTCAAACTTTAAATCCTCCTGTCTCATCCTCCACAGCAGTAGCTCAACTAGGTGTGTCAGTAAGGGATTTCTGGGTAACTGGGATTACAGATGTGCACCATCATGCCAATAGGATTTTTAAAGCATGCAGAACACTTCACTTTTTTTTTTTTTTTTTGGTACCAGGGATTGAACTCAAGGGTGCTTAACCACTGAGCCACAGCCTCAGCCCTTTTTTTTTTTTTGAGACAGGTCTTGGTAAGTTGCTCAGGGCCTCGCTAAATTGCTGATGCTGGCTTTGAATCTGTGATCTTCCTGCTTTAGCCTCCCGAGCCGCTGGGATTATAGGCGTGCTCCATCATGCCTAGCTACTTCACAGGGTTTTGTATGGTAAGCAATTATATAGGATCACTATTAATATTGTCCAGACCACAGCTGAGACTGTAAACATTTCCTCACATCTTTCCCTCATTCATTCCAGAGATATTTATTATGTGGTATCTGTGTGTATCAGATTTTGATGTGCTCAACCTGAATTATTCATGAGAAGGATCACTTGAGCCTAGGAGTTCAAAGGCAGCCTGGGCCGCATAATGAGAGCCTGTAAAAAAAAAAAAAAAAAATCAACACACATACATAAAATAAATAAGTAACTCCCCACCCCCACAATTATTCTTCAATCTCAACCTGGTAACTATTATGTATTTTTTTATTCTTTGTAAAGAGAATTTTAAATATCAATATGATTTTTCATCATATCTATTTTTATTCTTGGCCCTCCTTTATGAGATCCAGAACCTTCCTGGATGTCCTCCAGGAATTTTAAATTGGGTATGTTTTGCCAATTAGCTCAGCAACTAGCACTTAGTCTTCTATAAAAATGAGTGGTTACTGGTCACTGATGTTTCTTAGCCCCTGCTGTTTGATCCACTTTTTTTTTTTTTTTTGCTGCTCCTCAGTGGTTTCTCAAATTCACTTATTTTCTGACAGCCTCCTTGGCCCTGGGTTAAAAGACCTGATTTTTCTTCCCTGTGGGGAGCCCAGAGGAGAATCCAGCCTGGTTCTCCTACCTGCAGGGAAAAATTGAAGGCATGAAAATGAAGACACTCCTACACCAAGTCCATAGTTCCCTGAGCAGTTTGGTGGCAGGAATTTGCTAGTGGTATGAAGGACATAAAGTTTTGCAATAGCAGCCTCCATTGGGTATGCCAGTAAATGATTCCTGGGGTCCTGGCTGGTGCTTCCTGGCACTGCGGGGGTGCAAAGGAGCAAAATTTATGCTATTAGCACAGTTATAACACTGTGTCTGTTGAATATTTCAGAACTGAGGTACACGGTGTCTTAAAGCTGCAGATGGAAGAATTTAGAAGCCTCAATCAGGGCAGCACAGTGGGTAATATCAGCAGGCTCTGGTGGGGTAGACCTGGGTTTGAACCCTAACTTTGCCTCCTATTCTAGGTGATAGTCTGCAAGAGACTCTATTATGCTGAGCCTCAATTTCTTCATCTATAGAGTAAGGGTGATGCTACCACAACTAACACTTCTGGAGTGTTACTATTCAGTCAGAACACATGCAAGTTGTCTTTGTTCCACCACTAAAAGCTGTTTTAAAATTGAATTAAAGCTGAGTCTAGTGGTCCAAGGATGTAATCTCAGCTACTCAGGAAACTGAGGCAGAAGGATCACTTGAGCCAAGGAGTTCTGAGTTAGCGTGGAAAACAGCAAGATTCTATCTAAAAATTAAAAAAACAATTTTTAAAAAAAATATAGAAAAGCATACCCTTCTTATTCACATTATATCCCTTGATGACGTTAAAAAATACACTTGCACATGGTTAAAAACAAATCATACAGGGTGTAACATGAAATACACTTTTTTTTTTAAACCAGGAATTGAACCCAGAAGTGCTTAACCATTGAGCCACATCCCCAGCCCCCCTTCCCACCCCACCTCCCCTTTTTTTTGAGACAGGGTCTCACTATGTTATCTAGGGCCTCGCTAAATTGCGAGGCTGGCTTTGAACTTGCGATCCTCATGATATATATTTTCATTCCCTCCCCCCACACACACACTTTTTTTTTTTTTTTTAAACTGGGAATTGAACTCAGGGGGCTTTATCTACATCCCCAGCCCTTTTTATTTGTTTTATTTATTTTTGAGATGGAGTCTCAATAAGTTGTTCGGGCTTGCGTTTAGTTGCTGAGTCTGGCTTCGAATTTGAGAAACTCCTGACTCCTGTAATCCCAGCCTCCTCCAGAGCGGCCGGGATTACAGGTGTGCGCCACCCGGCCAGCCTTCCCACCCTTTTTGTTCTACAAACAGAGCAATTTAATAGAATTCAACCTAGTATGTGCCAGTTACTGCTCTAAGGCTTTATATGTAACTAAACACTCTGAAATTCTTCATCTACTCCATGAAGTAGATACAGTCATTACTCCCCTTTGGCAACTGTAATTCTTTTACAGAGAAGCAGAAGGATCAGGCAGGAAAGGGCAGGCAACCTACTAGGCCTCCAGAAGGGTTGTAAAAGTTTGACAAACATAGAAGTGAGTAAGTCGTTAAGTGCTACATAGAAATATTCGCCGGGTGTCCGAAACGCGCTCCCTTGGGGCGCGGCTTACGGCGCGTACTTTGTTGGACCGCAGTATCTCTTTGATCTGGGAGCGACTCATTCCAGAGCCGCAGGGACTAGTCTCTACCTGGGTTCCCGGGAAAGGCGCGCTGCGTTCCGCCGTCTCAACCAGTCTTGCTAGAGTAGGCGGGCCCTCTAGGAACAAAAGCGTTCGGAGTGACTGCTGCTGTAGCCACTCAACGCCGAGCACAGGTCGGCGCATCCCGGCAGAGTTAAACTTCCAATTGGTGGAGTCGCCCTAAAAGAGGCGGGACGAAGTTAAAGTCCTGTTTTCTTTGGAGTTCTCAACCAATCAAGGCGTCTGGGAAAGAACTGATAAGTTAGGTTGAGACGTGTGTAGCGTTCGGGGAGGCCTGAGGGCGGGGCGGGGAGCAGGCTGGAAGCTGCGGGCAGGGTACGCTTCCCGCGGGCGCGCGGAGCGAGGACGGTGACAGCCACGCGCGCGCGTGCGTGCCCTGCTGTGGCGCGGCCCCGCGACCCCCGTCGGCAGCCCAGAGGCGCGCCGGGTCTGGGCGGCCGCTGTCTAGGATTCTTGTTCCCGGGCGTGCCCGGCGTCCCCGACCCCAGTCTCGGAGTGTCGGGCCTCGCCCGCCCCGTCGGCTCCTGCTAGCGTCTGCCCCTTGCCGCCGTCAGGGCCTGCCCCCCAACTCCCCTTTTTCGCTCCGGGGGCAGGGTCCTCGCGGCCCATGCTGGCCGCTGGGGACCCACGCAACCCAGCTCGCTCTTGGGCCGGCCAGCCGGCCACCATGGTGGCCCTGAGGCCTGTGCAACTCCTCCAGGGGGGCTAACAGGTCCAGAGCACAGGCTTTGGGGCGCGAGGGTCCCAGGTCTGAGCCCCGCGCCATGGCCGGGGCCATCGCTTCCCGCATGAGCTTCAGCTCGCTCAAGAGGAAGCAGCCCAAGACGTTCACAGTGCGGATCGTCACCATGGACGCCGAGATGGAGTTCAATTGCGAGGTAACTGGCCAGTAGCCCCGACGGGCTGAGGCGAAGGGAGCCCCGCTGAGTCCCCGCATCCGGCACCTACTGGGGAGCCCGGGTCGCGGTGACAGTCGAGATGGAAGCTTGAGGGATTCTGTTTTATTCTCCTCTGGGCATTGATAGAGACCGTGAGAACCGGAAGGGGCCATACAGGCCCAAATCCACAAGTTAAAGCTAATTACTGCTTTTTCGCTTGGGGCTCTTTCGCTTGGGGTTTAGCATTTCTAAGGGTTATTTTCATTCATTGTTATTGGTGGAGGCTGGAAGCTTCCGTGGTAGAGAATTCTGGTTTACAGTGTCAGGTTTAAACTTAAACTCAAGGGAGTTGTCCCCCACCCCAGGTAATGTTATAGATCCCAGGTATTAAAAGTTAAATCTTCGTTATTGGAAAGTCTATACTTGCTCCCTTTTCCAAACTGGAAAAGATAATTTTTTTTTTTGTATTGGAAACTTAACCTGGGGCGCTTTACTACTGAGCTACATCCCCAGCCTTTTTTTTTTTTTTTTTTTAAATTGAAACAAGGTATCACTAAGTTACTTAGGGCCTCACTAAATTGCTGAGGCTGGTCTTGAATTTGTAATCATCCTGCCTCAGACTATTTAGCCTGGGACTACCGTTGGGCAAAACCAGCAAACAAACAAAAAGCTCAAAAAGCTCTTTAAGAGAGAGTACCTAATACTTTCCATACAGTGTCCAGCCTGATATAACAATTATCACTTTGTTGAAGTGTCAGGTACTCACTTTTTTTTTTTTTGTACTGGAGATTAAACCCAAGGGTTTAACCACTGAATCACATGTCACATGCCCAGCCCTTTTTATTTTTTAATTTTGAGATAGGATGTAGCTAGGTTGCTTAGGGCCTTGCTAAATTGCTGAGGTTAGCTTTGAATTTGCCATCCTCCTGCCTCAGCCTCCTGAATTGCTGGGATTATGGGTGTTCGCCACCGCTGACATTCATACTTTAACTTTCACAATAACTCAGTGAGGCAGGTACCTGTAACATTGTAGAATATGTATTTGGTCTGATTTCCTGGCATACCACAACTAAAATCTTTGGAATCTCTGAAGTGATAAGTGGCTTTTTGTATGGTAATGAATTGACTAGGTAGCTCCTATCTTGATGGGAGCTGATCACAAGAAAGACCAAGAACCCATTAGAGGGTTGGAGTTTTTCAGCTCCACCTAACCTGGAGGAGGGGAGAGGGGCTAAAGGTATTTGGCTAAAGATGTAATTAATCATTCTTGTGTAATGAAGCCTCCATAACCCCCCAAAAGAACAGGATGTATAGAGCTTCCAAATCTTCAGCTTCCAGCTGAAGCTGCAAGGGGTTCCTAGGAGGTGGTGTCCTACCTAGGAAAGGGCATGGAAGCTCTGTGCCTCTTCCCACATGTCTTGTGTTTTTTCATCTGTTGCCCTTACAATATCCTTTTTAATAAATAGGTACACATAAATGTTTCCCAGAGATTGGTGAAGTACACCCCAAAGAGAGGTGGTGTGAACTCTGATTTATATCTGATTGGTCTGAAGCACAGGTAAAACATCCTGGGGCCGGGAGCAGTGGTGAACACCTGTAATCCCAGCGTCTCAGGAGGCTGAGGCAGGAGGATCACGAGTTCAAAGCCAGTCTTAGCAAAAGCGAGGTGCTAAGCAACTGAGACTGTCTCTAAATAAAATACAAAATAGGGCAGGGATGTGGCTCAGTTGTTGAGTGTCCTTGAGTTCAATCCCCAGTACCAAAAACAAACAAACAAAAAAATTCAGGGGCAAGTGATTGGCTACTATGGGAGAGACAGTCTGTGGGACTGAGACCTCAACCTATGGGATCTGAATTGCCTCTAGATTGAGTTCTCTAGGTGGCCATATCAGGATCGATTTGAATTAGAGGACATCCAGCTGGTGTCTGCTGCAGAAAAGAATTGACTAATTGATTAGTTACTCGTGAGGGAAATCCCCACAAACACACACCACCCTCCCCCCCCCCCCCCTCGTACTGGGGATTAAATCCAGGGGCACTTAACCATTAAGCTACATCCACAGGCCTTTTTATTTTTTATATTGAGACAGGGCCTTACTAAGTTGCTGAGGCTGGCCTCAAACTTGTGCTTCTCCTGTCTTAGACTCCTGAGTCACTGGGATTACAGATGTGCACCACCATGCCTGGCTCTTACATACTTCTTGGTGATCAGAGGTCACATAAATCTTCTGTGTTGATTGTTTGGGGCATAGAAAAAACGCTGGTATTTTGCCTGTATCTACCAAATACCACAAAGATTTTTTTTTTTTTTTTTTTTTTTTTGGTACCAGAGCTTGCACCCAGGGGTGCTTAACCACTGAGCCATATTCCCAGCCCATTTTTTATATTTGATTTTGAGACAGGGTTTCTCTGAACCTCACTAAGCTACTGAGGCTGGCTTTGAACTCCCAATCCTCCTGCCTCATCCTGTGAGAGGCTGGGATTACAGGTGTGCACCACTGTGCCTGGTACATTTTGGACTAAGTAATTTGAGTCTTTACTACTCAGTTTGGTTCATGGATCAGTAGCATTGGCAACAGTAACTTAAGTCAGGAGTTGGCAGACTTTTTCCGTATAGTAGGGCCACATAGTCAAGCTTCTCAACTTTGCAGGCCATAGGATTTCTGCTGGATTTACTCAGCTCTTCAATTCTGTTGTTATACACAAAAGCAGCCTTAGACCTGATTGGAATTCCAGCATGATGGTGTTAAGGAGCGCCATTGACCCATTTTCTTGCAAAACTGGTGAAAATTATTAACAACTATTTAAACCCTTTGGAAATGTCCAAAGGTAAAACAGCAAATGGTGATATATTTATTCAAGAAAAAAGTATGAAAATTTGATAAGAAAGGTGAGAGGCAGTGGTGTTTGGACCAAGATTACTCTTTTCTTAGAACTTCACTGTTTCTCATCTTAACCAGACCTATTTGTTGCTGAGGCTAAGTCCTGGGTGATTGCATCTCAGAGATGGGGCTCCCTTCTTCCACTTAGTCCCTATTTGTGGAACAGGGCTTGGCATACTGAAATAACTTCAGCCCTAACTGCTTTTGTCTCCATCCTGGATTATGAGGGGGTGGTTCCACAGCAGGATAGGCAGGCTGAGACCTTGAGCTAGTGTGTCCCCACCTGTCCCCTTCCATGAAGTACTTTGTCCTAGAGTCAGGAATATCACTCACAGAGAAGCTTGCCATGGGCCCCTTCCCCATCCCCAGATCCCTGGCTCAGGGATTTTGGCTGAGAGTAGAAGCTGGCCTTAAAACAGAGCTCCTGGTTGGGGTATAGCTTAGTGGTAGAGTGCCTGCAGGGAGCCTTGGGTCCAGTCCCTAGCACCAAAACCAAACCAACCAACCAACCAACCAAAAACCCAAAGGAAGTAACTTCATCTGCAAAGCAGTGTGGAACAGTTTATACACACTTGAAAATAGTGGGAAAATTTGAAGTTCTGCAAGCATCACAGGTTGGGCAGACAGGGCAGTGGGTGTAGGTGAATGTCTGGGTGGCAAATGGTGGGTGGCAAATGGTGGGTGGCAAGTGGAAAAAATGCAGCGCAATTCACAACAGCTAAACTGTGGAACCAACCTAGATGCCCTTCAACAGTTGAATGGATAAAGAAAATGTGATATATATATATATATGATGGAATATTACTCAGCCTGAAAGAAGAATGAAATTATGGCATTTGCAGGTAAATGGATGGAACTATAGAATATTATGCTGAGTGAAATAAGCCACTCCCCCCAAATCAAAAGCCGAATGTTTTCTCTGATAAGCGGGTACTGATCCATAGTGGGGCTGGGGGATAAAAGAATGAAGGAATTATGGTTTGTGCAGAGGGGAGGAGCTGTGGGATAGGAGGATGGTAGAATGAGACAGACATTATTACCCTATATACATATGTGATTACACTACTGGAGTGACTCTGCACCATGTACAGCCAGAAGAATGAGAAGTTGTGTTCCATTTGTGTACAATATGTCAAAATGCATTTCACTGTCATGCATAACTAACTAATTAGAACAAATAAAAAAATTAGAAGTTAAAAAAAGAAAGAAAGAAAGAAAAATGCCGTGGATGAAAGTAGTTGAACTTTGGAATGGATCTGGAGTACATATAGGGAAAAGAGAACAAGCAGTTGAGGCCCCATTTCCTAAGTGGAGAGTTCTCAGCTAAGGTCCCTCCCCAGCCTGCCTCCCTAATTCCTAGAGATTTATGGCTTAGTACAACCTCAACCCAAATTATTCATATTTAACATGAGCCTTTTCACTATATTTTATGCCCTAATTACTAAAAAAAACACAAAATGAAATTCCCAGCACCAACCTCTTCTCTAACACAGCCATGATCCCCAAATAACTTTCTAACCCCAAATCAACCCAAAACTTACCTTAACTCAAACTCATCACCACCCTAACCATCACTCACCTTCACCCTCACCCCAGACCACTTATCCTGACACCTAACACCAATCCCATTTCTAAATCCCAAACCTTCATTCTTTTATTTTTAATTTTTGTTGTTGTCATAGGTGGACACAATATCTTTATTTTATTTATTTATTTTTATGTGGTGCTGAGGATCGAACCCAGTGCCTTACATGTGCCAGGCAAGAGCTCTATCACTGAGCTACAACCCCAGCCCCCAAAACTCTAATCCTAACTCTAAGCTTCACACTCACCTTTTTCCTCTGCCTCATCCCAACCCATTTTTTAAAATTCATTTATTTACTCTGATTTGTTATATGACAGTAGAATGTATTTCAATTCATAGTACACATATACAGCACAATTTTTCATGTTTCTGGCTGTTCACAAAGTAAAGTCCCACCATTCGTGTCTTTATACATGTACTTAGGGTAATGATGTCCATCTCATTCCACCATCTTTCCTACCCCCATGCTTGTTTTCTTCCCCTCCCTCCCCTTTGCTCTATCTAAAGTTCCTCCATTCCTCCCATGCTCCCCT